GATCACATTTGAGGCGTGAGCATACTGTGTTTGTTCGTACGATTCATAATTCTGTTATAGCAAGTTGTATAATGTAAAAATGTAAGAGTTTATTCTGGATTTGACTTTATAGCATGCATCAGGATTGGTCTAAATAGATGAGGTAAAGTACCATGAGAGTCCTATGTTACTGTTTATGATTGTCTAAATTTTTCTAGTTTGTCAAATACTAAGACATCTGTGTCAGCAAGTAGATGATGAGTACGTGAAAATTCATATAGTTTTACTTCTCCAACTCTTCTCTTACTAAGTTACCTTCACCCTATCTTCTGTGTTTCATTACCCTTAAGCTTGATAGCATTTTTGGCGGTGTACAGGCTCCAAAGGTTAGTTTCAAGAAGCCCATTGGAAGTGTGAGTGTTTCTGGCCATAAGTTTGTGGGATGTCCGATGCCATGTGGTGTCCAGATCACAAGGATGGAGCACATCAATGTGCTCTCAAGCAATGTTGAATACCTTGCATCAAGGGATGCTACGATCATGGGAAGTCGGAATGGTCATGCTCCTATTTTCCTCTGGTATACTCTCAACAGAAAAGGTTATAAAGGATTTCAAAAAGAAGTGCAGAAGTGCCTCAGAAATGCTCACTACTTGAAGGACCGACTACATGGGGCTGGGATCAGTGCTATGCTAAATGAACTCAGCAGTACTGTTGTATTTGAGCGGCCCCGGGATGAGGAGTTTGTTCGTAGGTGGCAGCTTGCTTGTGAAGGGAACATAGCACATGTGGTGGTGATGCCTAATGTGACCATCGAGAAGCTGGATTTCTTCTTTAATGAATTAGTTGGAAAACGGTCAACTTGGTATCAAGGGCATGTTCAGCCTCCTTGTATTGCCGCAGAGATAGGCAAAGAGAACTGCTGCTGTGCTCTGCACAAGTAAAAAAAAATGATGATTCGTCGTGGTTTTGGAATTATTCCTGTGTTTTTCTTCAGCTTGACATTTGATTTTAATGGAATAGGGATTAGATTGAGAATTTCTCCTATTACATGGTTCATTACAACACTTTGACAACCTTAATCTGCAAGGCGTATACGTATATCTATTAGAGGTGTGAAAAAAATATCTGATTCATTGGTCTAATCCAAAATTTCAGACTTTTAATTTGTTTTTTTCATTTTTTGAATAATTCAGATTAGATATTTTAGAAAGAAAATGAATAACTGGATCGAATATGGATTATCCGAAAATCTAGTAAAAATTGAGTCTTTTAGAATTTAGTTAACATTTAGCCTAATGAGAGAGTAACACATCTAGCCCAATAAAATTTTGATATTTTAACTGTTTCCATTTATAAGGTCTTTTTAGTCATTTTCACTCATAAGGGTATTTATGTATTTTTCCTCGCTTAAGGACAGTACAATAGGGGTGTGCAAAATTACCCGACCCGGTTAACCCGACCCGTCGACCTGCCGACCAGGATCTAAAAAAACCGGGTAATTCTCTAAAAAAAATTACCCGGCCGGGTCGGGTACCCGGCCCGACATTTCCCAGGTCGGGCCCGGGTCACAAAATCTAGTTTTTCCGGGTACCCGGTTACCCGAGTACCCGGTTAGTTTTTATTTTTTTATTTTTTTATATATAATTATATAAAATATAATGAATTATTTATATTATGGATTATTATATTTTGTATTTCGAACTTTTAAATTTTATGTTCGGATATTAGAGTATGTAATTCGAAGTTTCGAATATTTAAATTTGTGTATATATTTTTTTAAATTAATAATTTGAAAATAAAAAATTAAAAACCGGGTATCGGGTACCCGATTACCGAGTACCCGCAAAATTCGGGTACCCGATTACCGGGTACCCGTAATATCTGGGTCGGGACACGGGTCGAGAAATCGTCGATCCGGAAGTTTCGGGTACCCGAATTTGCACACCCCTACAGTACAACTACAATCGTTTCCACATGTAAAGGTATTATGGCATTTTAGTGGATGAGGGTATTTTGATCGTTTTTACCAACAAAGGTATTATTGACATTTACACGTACTTAGGGTTCCCAAGCTCATTCAGAAGTCTTAAGAATATCAAGTACCGATATTTACACTCACAATATATATATTTAATAAATAATAACAAAAACAAACAACTCATAATAATATGAGATAACTATAAAAATAATGCTAGTCATAGAAAAGGTAAACTATTAGCTTAATCACTAAATTATGAGATTAATTTTATTTTGATTATTAAATATTTTTTATCAATTACAATAATAATTAGATCAATTAAATCACCACCAGATAATTGATTAAAAAATTATTGATTTAATTTATTTTTAATTGATATAATAATAATTTTAACTCTTTTTTATTCAACAAGAAGAAAACAACACACAACTAATTGCCTTCCCCACTGCCTAATATCAGAATGAAAATGGATTCCAAGGAGATTGCCATCATAGTATCAAGAAATCCATTCCATGCACAGTCCGTCTCTCAAGAGTCTAAAGACATACGTATCAGACACCGGAAAATGTAGGAACTCGAATTAAAAAAAAAAACATACACAACCACAGAGAAGATTTGGCAAGCATGCAGAAGCTACACATCAAAGAACATTTTAGACAAAGGGAAAGCTCGAGAGTCGGGCATAATGTATGGGGACAAAAGACCCTTAAAATCAAATTTACTAGATATTCATATGAGTAGCAATCTAACGTACCCTAATATTTGAACATGACTGGCATGTAAATTCATAAACAGCACCTCCATTTTATATAATGGAGGAACATCTAAGAAAAACCAAAGTCCAAACACACTTAACAGCCTTAGACAAGAGAGTTTAAACAATAAATTGAACAAAAACACAAACCTGAATGTTATCATGATATATATATATATATATATCTAAAGAGAAGCATGTTTTATGCAATGGTATATGATAATAAGTAATAAATAACAAAAGAGTTCTAGAAGCCACAATACCATTTCACAAAAGGCAAATCAACAAGAAGCAGAGACTGTAATTGTCACTGTCCGCTCTTGTGGGTACTATAAAATGAGTGCGGATATGTGTGCAAGTATACACAATCGAGCAAGTATACACAATCGAACAAGTAATAAAGTGATAAGTAGAGTATCGTCTCCACAGGGAATTGGGGAAATCAAATAGGTTTGTCAAGGCACTTTACTTTGTCACCTAAGTAAAGTTCAAAGTAAAGTTAGTGATAGTATGTACAAATGATAATGCTGTGGCAAAATGAGATGGATGTTGTGGAAATGGAATGGTGGTATGGTAGCAAATGGATATGTCGCGGCAAAGTGGATGAAAATGTCATGGCAAATTCAATTGTGATAAATACAAACAATTAGAAATGTCAAGGCAAAATAAAATGCAACTACTGGATTTAATATATAGGACTTTAGCTTTCTCACACGACAAGCAGCTATGGGAATGAGTGGTAGGAGTCACTAAGAAAATCTAAGTCTATTTCTTTGAATGGTATTTCTTCTATGCTTAGCCTGCTCGACAGAGTCTACTAAGGTGTCCTATGCTATCTCTAATAAGGGACTCGACAGATTAAATATGCCCTGACAAAATCGATTGGCGTAAACCCCTGCAGTGATCCTATTAGTCCAGATAACATGATATGTCTCGGCAATACCTTTTTGAGGCAGCATTAACATCTAACCTATCGGTTATGCTTTACTCCTTTTAGTCGAATAAAATTATATCCTTATCTCTAAGGTGGATTAGGCCTAGTTACTACCTAGAACCCCTTTTTTATATAGTTCCTCCCTAGTTTCTCTCGAAGACTAATGATATTTTGCCGAGGCATTCTCTCGAACCCTAAGCATCTTCCAAGGAAAGGCTATTCTCGTAGCTCCTACAACCTTAAAGCATTTAAGTTTCATAAACAAAACATATTAAAATATATAAAAACAACCATTCATTGAAATAAAACTTAAACATCCAAGCGAACTCCCACCAAATAGGATTAGTTCATGGTGGGGTTCGAAATAAACAAACACAAAGCAAGTTTCATTCGTTCCTTACAACCCAATAACAAAATATGAAAACAAAGAACTAAGGAGAGGAGAGAAAGCCTTCGACGTGCACTGCTCAATGCTTCCCTCGGCCACCAAGAGCTACTCCCAGCGGACTGGCTTCTCTCAGACGCTCAGAACGCCACTCCCTCAGGCTTGTCAAGGAGAAATGTCACGACAAGTAGGATTGACGGAGAAAGATGAGACATTCTCTCTCTAACTTTTTAAGCTCAAATCTGGGTGGAACTAAAGTCTCTAACATTGTGGCTTCATCCTCTATTTAAAGGGGAAAATTAACCCTTGAACTAAAAGTTGACTTTCCCAAACTATGGTTAACTTGCTTGGGAGTCAGGCAAGACAGGTGATGATACAGCCTGGGTAGCTGGCATGAGTGACAGGCATAATCCTGTTGCAGGCGCCCAAAGACAGACAAGATCTGTAGGGTCAGGCGGCATCATCAGCAGAACCGGCAGTTGCAGTACCGGTCCCTCCAGGCGGATCTTCGAGGTGGATTTCTCGGGCAGAGCTCTCGGACAGTTGGATACAGTTGGCTTCAAAAATATCTTCTTATACTTTAAGCACTTTCGAAATGCCGGTTGAACTTGACAAATTCATTTTGCTCATCAATCTCCTTATGTCACAGCATTTTCTTTCCTCTTTTCCTTGCTCTCAATACCTGCACATCATCAGACAAATACCTTTCTCATAAAGCAACACCGCTGTAAAAATAAAATGCCACGGCAAACCGAAATCCACCACATGCAACTAAATGCCTCTACATGGTCCTAAATGAGCCTTTAGACATTCAATAACTTAAGTTAAAAGGTCCCAAAATGTGGCCTTTTACGGAGTTATCAGTTACACTACCGATGTTTACACCACAAAAGCAGGCATCATCACAAGTTTCAACTTAGTTTGCCCATTCTATATGTGAGACTCCATGGAAATATCAATAAAAGCTTACCAGCAACAAAAATAATATTGCATCAAGGCCCGAAACTGTAGAAAACAAAAAAGTTTAAAATACACGGCTTTAATCAGCAGACAACTCTTTTCGCTTCAACTCTAGTGCCATTCGTTCATTCTCAAGCTTCATCCTCTCATTTTCCATTCTCATCTTTTCCACTTCACGGTCCCTTCTCGTACTAAATCTATGCCACTTGAAACGTTGTTTCTCCAATTCTAGCAGCTCCAACTGAATTTGCAGTTTCTGTTCTTCTAGCTGAAGTGTGCGAGACTCAATCCACTGCTTCTGCATCCAAGCATCTCTTGAATAATCAAGTAGAGCCCGGTTCGCATTTGCTTGGGCGAATGATGGATAAGAAAAAGAATTGTTGTGGCAGTGCTGGGAGTTCAAAAAATTCTGGAAACAAGTATCTTCAAGGACTTGGCTTTTTCTTGATCTCTTAGTAGAGATCCCGGATGCCCCACATATCACCCTGTTATCCTCATGTGAAGCATGATTCTCCTCAAGCTCGTCATGATCATTAGTTTCCATGTCATGGTCATCATCATCAAGATCTTCATTTTGGTACCTCCAAGCATAATCATTATTATCTCTACTTTTGAGAGCCAATTGCAAGGAACGTTGTAATTGTAGATCATGAGGCAAATGCAATCTATTCCCATTGTGATAAGAACACATCTCCTCGTAGAAAAGATGCTTTGAGCTTAAAATTTTCCTAACATCATCCTTTTCTTTCTCTGTTAAGTAATTTATAACATCCAAAAGTGTTGGATTCTCAACAACTTGACAAGAAGTGCCCCTACCAAGCATATCATTTAGCTTTTTATACCTTTTATTCAAGTCATTGAACTTATCCTCACACTGTTGAGGAGAAACATGATAACCTCTCTCAGCCATGACTTTCGAAACTGATTTCCATTTACCCTTCTTCTGTAAAACTGCAAATTTCCTACTCATCCCACCACCACAGTCCCCTGTCGCATCCTCTCCGATATAAGACACTGCTGTAATCAAAAGCCTCACCATTTTATCAGTCCACTTTACACGCTGCCATGGAGATCCTTTCTTGCCTTTAGTTCCATCATTATGACCATCAACACATTCTTCTGTAAAACTTGATTCATCCACATCACTCACCGAACTTTTACCTCGTTCCATCTTGTTGTAATTTGTCATTGAAATGACTTGATCAGAGTTTTGCATGGTCCCCATCGTGAGTAGAAAATTCTCACGAATATAAGGACGGGCACAAGAGCCTTGACGAAGATTAGAGTGATGATGTTGATGGATATTATGCGAGTGTTGGGCAGGATGATGAACTCTCATGGATCCTTGCAAGTCAAGGCATCCAAAAGAAATTCCAGCAGGAGTCATTCCTTTTTGGGATAAATTGTCTTCCATTTCTTATTTCAAACAAACAATTTTATGTCATCCACATCAACTTGTTTTTTTTCCTAAAGCCTAGTCTATAATATTATTCAAGTATTGAATCAACCACAATCAAGTATACCACCATGTTCTTGTCTCCTTTCTTAACACATTTCCAGCTACCAAATAAATCAATCAGAAAATCCCAAAATACCAAGCTCCTCAAGCTAAGTAACCATCTATTAACATATATCAGCCAGTACAAATTTCAGGAAAAAAATAACCCACAAAAATCTACTTTCAAAATTACCAGAAAAGTAGAATAAAAAGACAACCAGCATAAATATGTGAACAATCAGCAAAAAATATCCACCACCCACAAATCCAAAAGTAAAAAGAAAAAGAGAACTTTCCTGAAATTTGGGCAATAATCCAGGAGTTAGACTAATGAACAAACTGCACAACCTGAAATTAGCATGCACCTAAAACCAAAAGTGAAAGAAAAACTGTTACAAGTGGGCTTGCCAAAGCATTTTATATGTGAGGGTTTTCGGCTTTTTTTATATTTAAAAACCTTTACAGGTTCAATGTAAGGGACAGATGGGCTCCATCTTCCTCTATTTTCTTTTCCATAGTTTATTTATTTGTATATTCATTTTTATAGTTTTTCCCCTATTTTAAACCCTATTAAAATAAGAAAAAATAATCTCAGTGACAAAAAATGTCTTATAATATACGATTTTAATCAATTTTTTTTGGATTTGCCAAAATGACCAACTAAATCGCAATGTGATCGATAATTCGCAACGCGATCTCTGGTATTGCAAATCAGTTTCCAGATTCGCAACGCGAACTTCGACTATCGCAATGCGATTTTCCAAATTCGTTGCGATAGTCCAAGTTCACGTTACGATAGTCGAAGTTCGCGTTGCGATTTATTCCAAGTTCGTTGCGATAGTCGAAGTTCGCGTTGCGATATATTCCAAGTTCGTTGCGATAGTCGAAGTTCGCGTTGCGATTTATTCCAAGTTCGTTGCGATAGTCGAAGTTCGCATTGTGATTTATTCCAAGTTCGTTGCGATAGTCCAAGTTCGCGTTGCGATTTATTCCAAGTTCGTTGCGATAGTCGAAGTTCGCGTTGCGATTTATTCCAAGTTCGTTGCGATAGTCGAAGTTCGCGTTGCGATTTATTCCAAATTCGTTGCGATAGTCCAAAATCGCAACGACTGGTGGTATTGCATTTGTTTCTTAAGAATTTTCTCTAAAAAGATAGTATTCGCGCGGACATGTCGAAGACACGTATTACCAAGACCACGACCACGAGACGAGACGAGATGGCGGCAGCGGCGGCGCGCGAGAGTCCCCCTTGTTCTCTATCACTCAACAAGGAAGTGGGAAAGCCAAGCCTTAAATACCATTCCAATAGTGTTTTCAATACTATGTGGGATTGAGCATTACCAATACTTGTTCCCAATATTATGTGGGATTGAGCCTTAAATAGTGATATTATTTGTGAATTATAGTTAATGACTTTAGTATTTGTATGAAAAGTATTTGTAGTTCGTTTAGTTTTCATGCAATTCTAATTTATTTTCAATTGATTGTAATTGCACGATAACAATTTTTTTTATTCTCGCGAGTGATGCAATTTTTTTGAATGTTTTGCTTAAAATTGTAATAATCGTGATTGATTGTAGATTGACTTTTAATTATGACATATTTAATTGTATAATACTAATGCAATTGATTGCTAATTCAGTTGTTTTAAGGTGCATGATTGTTAATTGTTTCCTGAATAATCACATAGTATTGGAAACAAGTGTTGGTAATGCTCAATCCCGCATAGTATTGGAAATACTATTGGGGATGGTATTTAAGGCTTGGCTTTCCCACTTCCTTGTTGAGTGATAGAGAACAAGGGAGACTCTCGCGCGCCGCCGCCGTCCGTCTCTTCTCGTCTCGTCTCGTGGTCGTGGTCGTTGTCGTTGTCGTGGTAATACGTGTCTTCGACACGTCCGCGCGAATACTATCTTTTTAGAGAAAATTCTTAAGAAACAAATGCAATACCAGTCGTTGCGATTTTGGACTATCACAACGAATTTAGAATAAATCGCAACGCGAACTTCGACTATCGCAACGAATTTGGAATAAATCGCAACGCGAACTTCGACTATCGCAACGAACTTGGACTATCGCAACGAATTTGTAATAATCGCAACGCGAACTTGGACTATCGCAACAAATTTGGAATAAATCGCAGCGCGAACTTGGACTATCGCAATAAATTTGGAAAATCGCAATGCGAACTTGGACTATCGCAACGCGAATATGTAAATCGCAATGCGATAGTCGAAGTTTGCGTTGCGAATCTGGAAACTGATTTGTGATACCAGAGATCGCGTTGCGAATTATCGATCGCATTGCGATTTAGTTGGTCATTTTGGCAAATCCAAAAAAAATTGGTTAAAATCGTATATTATAAGGTATTTTTTGTCACTGGGTTATTTTCTCTTAAAATAATTCCTTCCCGATTTATACTTTGACTCCCTAAAAAGAAATTAATCGAATGGATTATATTTTAATTAAATTAAATTAGATCAATTAAGATACATTAATTGATAGAGCAGTTAAAGATACTCATATTATCTCACTTTATGTGTATTTGAATCCCGACCTTTATCTAAAATATATTATATATATATCTAGTTAATAAAAAAATAGATACATCTAGTTTATATAAAGTTTTTATTCTTTTTTACTTTAAAATAAATAGTGCAATTTAAAGTTTTTATTCAAATAAAAGATTAGGTTGTTTAACTAGTTTGTTATACTTTCGGAGGCCACTTCCAAAAATTGTCAGCTCTCTGCTAGCTAAAACTTCTGGGGAGATACCTCCACTTACCGGAGTAACCAAGGAACTTATATTCTTCGAAGCACATGAGTATCATAGCTTCTAAACAATCACACTGTATAGATGAAATTTATGACAAACCAATGTGATCTACCATAGTAAAATTTAAGATCTGACGATTAAATCTATTTAGTCTATTAATCTACAAATAAGCATAATGATAATGTATATGACACCATTAGCTAAAGTCGTTATATATACCTCTGAATTACGTATATCCAATTATGAACACCCCTATTTAAAATTGTGATTTAAAATTTTAAGATTTAACAATAAATTTTATAAGTTGCGCAAAATAAGGTTTACACGTAACCTACGTACCAAATAATAACTCGTATTATAATTAGATTTGATAATTAATGGGTTAATGCATATTTTATCTCCTGAATTTTGTTTTAGCTATGTAGTTGGTTTTCAATTTTTTTTAAGATCCATTTGGTACTTAAATACTTAGTTGATTTCTAATTTTTTAAATCAATTTAACCCTTAAATTTTATCTTAAATTACGTATATCAATGTAAAAAAAGAGAACTTAACGAGGTTAAAATATTGTTGATGTGTTGATAAATATCATGTGTCTTTAAGAATAGGCTCTACATGTATAAAATAATGGGTAAAGTATAAAAATGGTTCCCCAACTATAGGACGTTATTTTGTTGAGTCCCCTGACTATTAAAAGTTACAAAATAGTCATTTGACTATTCATATATTCCAAATTCATCATTTTTCGTTAAAAATGATGGTTGTCCGAGCTAGACATTAAGTTGCTGACTAGCATATGGTAAAATCATATTTTAATTATGTCTATTGGTACTATCACTGCTTTCAATCACTGGCTCAACGACATAATGTAAACGATAGTCGATTATAAAATATAGCTCAAACAGTTATCGTATGAGATTTTATCATATCTCAGTCAACAGATTAACGTCTAGCTTAAACAACGGCCAATTTTTTAGTAGAAAAATACGAGTTTAAAACATATGAATAGTCGAGCGCTCATTTTATAACTTTTAATATGTAGATACTCAACAAAGTAACGTCTTATGGTCGAAAACTATTTTGTAACTTTTAATAGTTGAGAGACTCAAAAAAATAACATCCTATAATCGGTGATCATTTATGTACTTTACCCTAAAACAATTAGTACCCGAACTAAAAATAATTGCAAGGTAACAATCCAGTGTCACTGCACATGTAAAATATGTTAGATTTCGAGGCTTCGAAGTGCGCCGAACTTGAATATGGCGAGTTAAAGAACAGAAACGTTAAGGAAATGACTTCAAGGTGTGCTTAAACGTGCCACTTTTCTTTAGTCTTATTTCTCCAGGGCCGGCCCTGGGCATAGGCCAGGGGGCGAGCCCTAGGCATAGGTTAGGGGCGACCGCCTAGAGTCTAAGTTTGGGGGGGCCATTTTTAAAATTAATTTTAAGTTTAATAATTAAAAAATATTTTAAGCATATTTTTTTATTTCAAATATTCGAAAATATGATAATTTAGTAGGCCTCAATAATTAAAAAATATTTTTAAACATAATTTTTTATTTAAAAAACTCAAAAATATAGTAATTCAGTGAGTCACATTTTAATAATGGGAGAAATCTAAGTATGGACCTCCACTTGTCTTCTTGTCATCACCTTTGACCTAGGGCCCTTAAAATGTCAGGACCGGGCCTGTATTTCTCTTACATATATTTGGATCCATCACTGTTTATAAAATATGTTTATTATTAATGATTAATTTTTTAAAATAAATATTATTTTATAATCAATCAAGACTAATAAAAAAATCTCAGATAATTAAAAATTGTGTTCATCCACAACGAAAAAGCTTCATTTTGGCCATACACTTTATATCGGGCTATATGCCTTACTATTTTGAAGGATTAGAAATGATTTATTTAGTATATAAAACATTGATTCCTGCTGTGACTTTATTCATAGACCAAATGCTGGCCCTCTGCAACTTTAAGAACTGGAAGCCTTACCCTTGGACCTGATGCCTGAGCAGATCCATCATGCCTTTGAGGGCAAAACACTATATACACAACTTCATTTGAATCTGTTTGCAGATGATAAACATGCTGGCCGGCGGCATAGCCTCCAAGGAGAAGATATGACCTCTCCGACTGCTCCATCATCACACATAGATCATCACCACCTGGTGGACCAAATGTTAATACTAAATCATTGTGTCAAATTAAGGGAAACGACTATCACAACAATAAAGTTCAATTTTCATGTCGAAGGCGTAATGTCAAAATTAACCTTCAATATTTATCAAAATAATTATTTTAATTTATATTCTTCTTTTTGAGATATTCGTTAACTTTCGGTGTTTCAATTTTTTTAATTAAAATAATTCATATTTATTGAAAATCATTAGTTGACTAGCAGTTAACACATATTTCTGATGTAATATTTTCATCAGTTTAATTATCAATGTGTCACATGTTATGTCATCATCTTAGGCGATACGGTAAATGTCATGTCATCGCCTTAAATAATGTGATACATACCACATCATCATATCAAGTGACATAACACATGTCATGTTATCATCTTATGTGATGTGTCACATGCTACAAATTTCTTTAAATGACATGACTTCTAATATATTAACAATTCAACACATATAAAAATGTTACATCAATATGCGTTGAACATGCGTTGAACGTCAATGAACTAACGGTTTTCATCTAATAAGGATTATCATAATAAGGATTATCGTGATAAAAAATTAAAACGTCAGGTTAAAATGTTTCAAGAAAAATAAGAGGCCATATATATTTAAAGAAAAGCATATATAATAGAAACAAGTAACTCACACGCAGCCATCTCAATTTGAGTGTTGTAAATGAAGTTGAGAACCGCATCAATGTCTTGCTCAAAGTCATAGAATGGTCCATTGTGGAAATTCATCTTTCTAAGCTTACACAGCCCCTCACCCAACTCCATCATAGCTCCCTTATGGTTCTGCATATATAACATCTTTAATTTTCATACGGTAGATATTAGAAGATGAAGACATCATGTTAATAATGGGAATTCAGTTCCAACCTGGTTAAATAGGTGGTGGAATCCGACGGCACATTGTAGGATGCCATGGATGAGTGTTCTAGTAGGCTCCTCGGCTTTGTTCCATAGGGACTCAAGCAGGTCATGGCACTTATAGTATTCCCTTTGGTTGAAAAGGGAAACCGCCTCGTCAAAACCACAATTCTCTTCGTCTTCGCTGCTGCCGGAGTACCGATACGAAACGCCGAACTTTCTGGGGGGATTGGAATGAGCATGGGTTGGAATAGGAGAAAGAGGAAGAGAAGAAGAAAAATGGTTGGGATTGTACGTATGGTTACAGTGATACTGAGTTGAGTGTGGAGGTGCTTGAGGAGAAGAAAATGGGGAGAGGTATGGCAATGGCAGTTTGGAATAAAGAAGCATCTTCTCCGGGAGAAAAAGGAGACCGCCGGAGAAGAGAGGTCTTTGGTTTGTGGCCTTGGCCTCTTCCTTTTTTGATTTTTATTTGTTTGTATGTGTCGTAGCGGTGATATTCTTCATCTTTATGTGGTTGAGTTGTTCTGATAAAAAAAAATCTTATGTAATGATAGAGAGTGTTCTATTAGTTTACTCTTTACAACTTCAAATATTATCTAAAGCTTAATGTAATTTCCAAAAACCACCCCTTATGTTTCTTTTTCTTCTTCTTCTTTTTAATTTAGTATTTAATGTTAATAAAAATTACTATTTTTATGGGTAAACTATATAAATGATCATTGGACTTTTATAGTGTTTGCATTTTGGTCACTTAACTTTTAAAACTTGAAATATAGTCACCAAACTTTTAGTTCGTTTTCAATAAGATCCTGACATTACCTCCCGTTTGTTTTATTTGGCGTGACACATTACAATTATTTTTCAGCTTAATAAAATAATCTTTTTAACCGATTTCATCTTAATAAAAAAAATTCATCACCCAAAATTGACTGAAAACTCTAAAAATCAAATGGGGACAAAATCCAAAATTAATTACAACTCAATCTTTTTTTTCCGAATCATGTTGGGACTAAAATCACATTCAATGTTACAAATAGTTTTTTCAGGATATGAAAAACCCCTCTATATCAGATCCCAAAAATTTAAACAAACTTCATACAATTGGATAACACATGAATCAAATCAGAAATAAATCTTCCAAATACATCATAAATAACAACTTATCATTCGCTACACTTGAACACACCTTCGATTGAGTCCTTCTCTCTCATTTTCATCCACTAGGAGTTGATAATCTAGAAAAAAAAAAAGCCTAAATCAAAAAACCCCAAATAAAACATAATTTATCTAAGTCATTTGATCAATGAAAGAGTTTTAAACCCTTCTAAATTTTCCCAAATTTTATACAGCACCGTTTGGGAATGTTTTTTCAAATTTTTTTGTTAAGCTGAAAAATAACAGTAACGTGCCACATCAGATAAAACTAACGGGAAGTAACGTCATGAACCTTACTAAAAGTTAATCAAAAGTTTGATGACTGTATTGCAAGTTTAAAAGTTGGATGACCAAAATATAAGCACCCTAAAAATTTGGTGACCATTTATGTAGTTTACCCATACTTTTAGCATAAAGGTGAAAGCTAATCAACTTTCTCATTTTTTGTTTCACTTTTTTTTCCAACTAAAGCGATCTCATTATACAATGATTACGTTTTTAGTTGTTTGAGTTTATTGTGACTGTAAAAATAACAAATATTATTATAATTATTATAGATATTATAGTCATACAACAATAATTTCTAAAGAAAATTTTATTGTTATATAATGATTGTTATTTAGACAGCGAACTCTTAGCTGTTGTTCATATACATCTGTTGGATCACTTTATACACTGGCCTGCTAACAGTTAACAGTGCCAGTAAAGCCTCAAGCATCAAAAAATGCTCTCACAAATAAAGTAAAATGGAAGTAGAAAAGGGAGAGAAAATCAAGGTTTTGGTACTTTTTTGCTATCCTGGTATCTTATCTGTTGTGTAGAGGATTATGGCCTGTATAGACTTTCCTCTGTTCAGAACCAAAAATGCCATCACCATCTTTGCCTGTATTTTAACCTTTAAACTTGGGTACTTTAGGGATTAACTCAGCGCCGGAACTGGATTTGAATCGGTTTAATTCATCGTACAAACCTGCATAACAAGGAGTCTGAAAAATATAACATTAGGTACGATTTTAAAATGAAAATAGTTTTGTGAGCAAAACAGAACAAAATTAATAGTTAAGTTACTAAACATGTAATTTACTCTTTTCTTTTATAATAAAACTAGAATATTTCGTAGCAATGTTACTAAAAATAGTTAATGTGAGCACGTAATTTTAAAAGATGGTTGTGTGATTTATTTTCATTAGATTGAATAGAGAATCTCAGAAAGGCTCGTACCATGGGAAACTTATCTTGCTATGGTGAGGCTTCATCCCTGGCCCTTGAGATGGACAAACTTAGGGATGGGGATGGGACATAAATCTGACGAGTTTCGACCCGATTCGATTGGATCAAGTTATATTCTTTAAAAAAATTGGGGTTGAGTCGGATTTTTTAGAGGTTATGTTTAGGTCGGGTCGTGTTCAGATTTAGGATGAAAAATACTCGATCCGAGAAAAACATGTAATTTTACCTTTATATTTAAGGATAATTACAATAATACCCTTATATATTTTTTTTTTCCAATTAAATTCTTATTTTTATTGAATAAAAATAATATTTTTAAATAAATATATTATTTCGTGTTCAGATTTTATCTAAAAAAAATTAATTGGGTGGAGGGTATATATTTTTCAGATAGGATTCAGGTGAAGGGTGTATAATTTTCGGGTAGGCTTTGGGTGGAGGATGTATAGTTTTCGGGTTAGGTCGGGTTGGCCGAAAATCCAACCCGACCCATGCCTATTCCTAGACACACTTTAAAATGTCAGTATTTTCAAAGTCATTATTCAATCAAACAAGGTCGGCCCTGGGCCAGGGCAGGAGGGAAGCCCGCCCAAGACCCACAAAATAAATTTTTTTAGTACAATATTTTTTGTATTTTTTATAATAAATTAAAATTGTAAAATAAAGTAGAGTAATCTATGAATTTAGTACCTAAACTATTAGTTTTGATCCATTTTGGTACTTAAACTTTTAATTTTTTTCAAAATCATCTATAACGTTTAATTTTCATTTCATTTTAGTATCCGTCGTTAAAAACTAAATGCATTTAGTACCTAACTATCATTTTTTTTTGTTTTAGTACCTAAATTTTTTTAAAAAAATTAAAACTTAACGTTAAATTTTGAATGTGTACTAAAATGAAATAAAAAGACTAAAGTTTTTAACAGCGGATACTAAAATGAAACAAAAATTAAACTTTACGTATGGTTTTGAAAAAATTAAAAGTTTAGGTACTAAAACAATTAAAACTGATAATTTATGTACTAAACACGTAATTTACTCAATAAAATAATGGGCTCATGATTTTTTTAAGGTTTCAATTATCTTTATTGAATTTTATATTAACATTAATAAATTGTTCTTCCATAAAATTCTAATTTAATATTTATTTCTCAAAATAAAAAAAATCAATTGAACTCTTTAATTTTGGTCTTTCCAAATTCTCACTATCAATTAACCAAATCTTTTTATCGATTTTTTATATCAATAAAAAAATTTATTAACATTATTTTTTTAAAAACTTAATGAGAGGAAAAAATTTAAGTATAATTAACATGCTTCTTTTCTCTTTCATGTTTCATGATTCATCTGAAAATTATTATTCTCAATTTTTAATTTATTATATTTCTCTCCCACGTAAAGTCACAATTGTTTATTATCAATTATGGTGCTTGAATCATATTGAAGATTGTCCTTAAAATTCTAGGTAGACCACATTTACAAATTCTTTCTTTTAATTTTATATATTTTCAAATTATAGATAAGATCATTCTTTTATTTTCAAAATTATATGTTATGTATTGAGAAAATTATATTGGAAAGCATTGATGTTGATACTATCATCAATGGTTTTGCATAAAAAATGATTGAATGTAATATTTTTTTATAAGTATTTGTATTCTTAAATATATATTTTTTTGACATCTTTTATATTATAATGAATTACTATTTTTTTAATTTAGTAAAAAATCTAATAAAAATTGTATATTACGTATTTCTTAATTTTTTTTATATAGGGATCATTTTTTATTTTCGCCCCGAGCCTAAAAATAGTCAGGATCGGCCCTGCAATCAAATATTAGAGGTTTTTATCCTAAAATAAAATGATAGATTAATATATTCTAACATAGAAATTAAAGATCAAAATGATCATTTAAATAAATATATGGACTAATTTTGACATTATATTTTTTTATAAAAAAATAATATACATATAAAAAAAGTTGACAGCTGCCTGATTGAGCAAAAAAAATACGATGAAAATGTCAGAAATTCATCATTGCAGCTTTGACAGATTTATATTCACTGTTAAGATATTTTGTAATAGTGAAAGTTACATGATTTTACAACCCGTAATGACAAATTCCATTGCAATATGAAAAGACGAAAAGTGGTACAACTAATTAGAAACACATTGAAGTTTATTTGGTCCTCTTCTTCAGAGCAGATGATAACAAAAATCCAAAATTTATTATATATCCACAGCCATGCGTTTGTAGAGATGAGAAGGCAGCCTAGGTGTGGCCATTGCCTGCACTGGAGTCTTCATGTAAGCAACCAATCCAGGATTCTCAGCCATGTCGATTTCCTCCACCTTCACCCCCTCCGCTGGTGTCCAGCAAAAATGGTGCAACAAGTGGCCCAGCATCGATGTTACCAGATTGATCCCAAGTTGAGCACCGGGGCACACCCTCCTCCCTGCACCGAATGGAAGCAGTCGAAAATCATGGCCTTTCATGTCCACGTCTTCCTCGAGGAATCGTTCTGGCCGGAACTCTTCAGGGTCTTTCCACACGGCTGGATCACGTGCTACCGCCCATACGTTGACGTGCACGTTTGATCCTTTGGGGATGTCATAGCCACCGATTTTGACATTTGCATTCGCACGGTGGGGTAGCATTAGGGGTGTTGGGGGATGCAATCTTAGTGCCTCCTTGGCTACACTTTGAAGGTAAGGCAGACTCGAGAAATCAGTTTCGGACATCACCCTGTCGGATCCGATTACATGGTCTAGCTCCTCTTGTGCTTTTTGCTGCACTCTTGGATTCCGAATTAGCTCGGCCATTGCCCACTCCACTGAGATCGCTGTTGTGTCCATGCCTGCTGTGATCATGTCCTGCGGGTTCAAGTTATACTTAAAGAATATGGACCCTAAAACACTACTGGTCTCCAAAAGTTAAACACATTCTTACCCAAAGAAGTCCAATTATTGTATCCTCGCTAAGGTCATACTTTTCTTGCAATGTAAGCAAGGCATCGACAAAATGCTGCTTGGCACCGCCGCTCTTCTGGCGGGCAAGGGTGTGCTCCTCCATGATAGCTCGGGTGAGACGGTCTCTCCGTGCCCCATGCTTGGCGAATGCTTCCTCTTCCAAGGGAAACATCCAACGAAGCCAAGGAATGTGCTCGGCCATGGCAAGCGATGCACCCAGCTTAAGACCATTAGCCACAATGGCCTTGAATTCGTGGCCTTGCTCGTCCATTATGCCCTCAGAGTTCACAAAACGTTTCCCAAATGCTAGCCTGGTTATGTTGTTGAATGCTACTGCTCCCAAGTATTTCCTTACTAGCAAACTCTTGCTTCCTGCATCTAAATTGGAGGGGGAAATAAATATTAGGCTCGTATTGAATTGATAAAAGTAGGGATGGACGAAATTCAAATAAAGTTAAAACTATAAAATAAAATTAGTCAATTCGACTAACTCAAACAAATTTTACTCTTGACTCACCCCTAGATACAAGTAGGCCATTTCCACAAGAGATCACAAATTTGACCATAAAAAACATTGCATCCTTTTCATATGAAAGTATTAAAATTTGACCATAAAAAATCCTAAAAAATCTGGTAAGGATTAATATTTTCCCGAATGGAATATCTTATGATAGAATTAACTAATTTCACCTTCAACGCTAATTAATTGGATTAGAATAGTCTAATCAAATTATTACACTCTCCATCAATGTGATTACAACAACTACTTGGCAACCATTGTAGAAACCTTAAGCAAAAGCAACGATGAAACTGTACGATTATTAAAAAAAGGAGGAGAGAATACCAGGATTGTTGCAGTCGATGAAGATGGATTCAACCATGGCAGTAACCTCATCTTCTCTGATGGGTCTCAAGGCTTCAAGCCGCTTGGGAGAGAAAAGCTCCAGCGTGCAGACTTTCCGTACCTTAACATAGTGAGGCCCATAATCAGCCCATATAAGATCCTGTCCGTCTCTGCTGAACTTCGCCGCGGATCTTGTCCTGTGCCGATCAGCCAACTGTTGATCACGCTCTTTTAGAACTTCCCTCGCCAGATCCGTGTTGGAAACGATCACATTCAGTGTGGACCCAAACCACACGGAAATGATCGGACCATAGACCTGCGCCCATTCCGCATAACACCGGAACCTAACCGGTTTGATGTCGTAAAGGTTCCCAACCACCGGCCACGCTCGTGGACCCGGCGGCAGCTTGAACCTTAGCCGTTGGTAAAGCTTGTACGATAGGAATACAGAGAAGATTGCGATGGTAATAATTAGAGGACCCATCCTCTTTGGATTTCTATGGTTTATTGATCAAATTGGTTGGGAAGGTGTCGATATATAGGAGAAACGGGTGCCTGGTGGGCAAAGGGAGTTGGTGAACGGATTTCTTAAAGCATTCTTACACTTTTGACTATGTATGAATCATCTCGAATCGACCCGGTAGTAGGTGGAAGTAAATTTAAAATATCATTAAAAATTCAGAAATGTTGAATTAAATAATCAATACAGTATATGAAAAAAATATTAGATTAAAATTCATAATTATAATTACATGTGTACAATATATATTATTATCAAAGAATACATTACTGAGCAATTATGTTACACATATCATAAAGTATTAAAAACGTCATAAAATTAATATAAATATTATCAAGTTATATTTATAATTTAATAAGAAATATAGTTATAAATACATATAATAATCAATTTAATAATTAATTATATAATATGATAGTAATCCTAAAAAAATGTCAATTTCTATTTTTTTATGTATAATTTATATTCGAGTGAAATTTATTTTCTTAGAAAATCTCTAATAATAAATTAAATTATCACTCTATAAATTTAATTTTATATTATTAATGATTTGACATGATTAGATTTTAGATATAATTTTATGTTCATTTTATTTTATTTTAAACAAAAAAATATTTAAATTATATATAAATTTAAAATTTTAATGAAATAAAATCGTATTTATCTAATACCTCTTCTCTTTTGATCCATTCAGGAATGATACGAAAATATAAATGGTGCAAGGGATTAGTGTGAAGGCCCAATGGGATTATGACACATGGGAGAGATAATGATGTGGGTGGTTGGTGAGGTGTGAAAAGTGGAAGAAAGTGGGGATGTGGGTTCAATGGTTGGTGAGGAGTGGGGAGGTGGTGGTGGGGAGTCCTGATCCATAGCACACAGATTTTTCATTTTCATTTTCATTTTCATTTTCATTTTCCATCTTAATTAAAATTCAGCAAATATAGGTGTTAAAAAGGTTGGCCTTCTAATCCGAATCCACCAAGTCAAGTAGAACACAATTTTCGTTTTTATGAAACCACCCCAAAATATTTAGGGTGCATCTTAGAAGGTATTTAACTATTAATTAGAATGGTTTAAGGGTCAAATATTCATTACTTTTCAAATTAATTTTTGAAGTTGAAAATTACTTTTTATATGGAAAATGATCTCTAATAACGCTAAAAAAATACTATTTGAAATAAAAATATTTTTAATCTATTTTTAAAAATAGATTTTTAACTTTTAGACAGAAAATTATTAAAATATCTAAATGTGTTAAATTACTTTTTCCGTAAAGGAATAATAAATAGATAAATTATATGTAAATCTGATTATATATTGATTAAAACTTCTATATTAAATTATAAGTCACTTCCATATGACTAATATAACCTTTAGTGTGCGTTTGGTTCACGAAATATAAGATTACCAGTGGGAATAGGATTACCGGAATGTAACATTACCTAACACGTTACTGAGAATGTTACATTAATGTGTTTGGTTTGTTTGGAAGTAATGTAAGATTACAGTGTTTGGTTGAAGGAATAAAAGATTACTAGAATGTATATTTTACCAAATTGACCTTGTTCTATATTTTTTAACAAGTGAAATTCTAAATATTTAAATAAAAATTATTTATATAAAAATTCATTGATAATATATTATTTTATTATTTAAGTATATAATGTATTATTTTAATTAATATTAAATTTTACATAATTTATCTAAAAAATATTAAAATTTTATTTCAACATTTAACTAAATGTTCAATATTAGATTTTTAATTTTCACTATGATATTGAATCGACCATTACGATGATTCTGTTGGGTAATGTTTTCCACACAAAATAGATGTTGGGACCGTCTTGGTATCGGTACCATCCCTAATGGTATCGATACTACCTGCATAAAATTCAAATATTTTGAACGTTGGAAAGCAACAATATAGATACCGTCCAAGGAGTATCGATACTTCTATATATAGTAGTATCGATACAATCCAATGAATATCGATACTTCCATATATAGTAGTATCGATACCGTCCAAGGAGTGTCGATACTTCTATATATAGTAGTATCGATATCAGACAATGGTATCGGTACCATTTTGGGATTCTGGAAAATTTTGGAGTCAAAACCAAATGAGTAGTATCGGTACTACTATATTGCATTGTATTGATTAAAGTTCAAAACACTTAGTAATAATTATTTCAAAAATATTTTTATTTTGAATCTCAATTTTTCATTAAGTAAGGAGTACAAATTGACATTTTAAAACTTTGAGAAATATTTGTAATATTCGAATAATTGAATCAAATATAATATTTAAATTTATAAAAAGTATTTAACACATTCGAAAACTAGCACATTACTTGCAAGCCATATACTACATAACAAAAAGAAGTATAACATTAACCATCAAAAGTTTGTACAATGTTCAAACTTACAAAAGATAATAGGCATGTCATTCTAAACTTAATCATATATGTTGGCTATATTATATACACAAAAAATCAATGTTATCAAAACCATATTGGACTGGCCAGTTCGACCGGTTGAACTGGGAATTGGTTGCCTGTCCAGTCCGGTCAGCCTCCAAAACCAATTTTACAATGAACCGGTAAAACCGGTGTGAACCGACGGTTCAAGCGGTTCACACGATTCTATTTTTTTAGTTGTTGTTGAATTTCATTAGATATTGACCTTAAATATTATGTTGTAGTTGATTTAAATCAATTTGTTTCACTTGATATTATGGTATTTAACTTATATATGTTATGACTTGTGATATTTTATACCTTTTAATATTGTGAACTTAAAAAGAGTGTTATATATATATATATATATATATATATATATTAATATTGCTTTAAATATTATGTAAAATTAAAAAAATATTATTTTATATAAAATGGTTCAACTGCGGTTTAACCACGGTTGAACCAGTGAACCAGTACCTTCACCGGTTTAAGGTCCGGTTTTAAAAACATTGCGAAAAATTCCCCAAGTCAAAAGATTGACATATACCTGGCTAAGTTACACAAAAAAGTTGGGACCATATTCTAAAGTCATAATAAAAAAGAGATCGACATAATTGTAGAATGAACACAATCAAAAGGTTGGTCTAAAGTGATGGCATTCAACTAATTGCTTAATCACATAATCTTGCTTGAATTCTTTTGACAAAGAAAAGAAGAAATCTACCTTGTGTGCATCTTTGCTAATATACTCTCCTGCAGTAAGCATTTCATCATTGGATAGGCCTTCAATTTTCATGATTTATGTGAAAATTGACATTCTTCGATCATTTTGTTCTGCCTCCTTTTTCAATAAAGCAGTAATATCATTAATTTCTTTGGCAGTTTCTCGGTATGCAACACCAAACTTATCTCCTGTACAAGCTCGGTTAACCCATCATCACTTCGAGACCTTTTCTTGCTAGCTACTTTTTTCATTGTAGGGGTAGAGGCAGTAACATCAGATGTTTGACAAGTTGAAGCACCAACATCCTCTCTTGATTCAGAATCTCTTACTCCCTCTTCTTCAAGTAATGCATCTATAAATGCATTGTCTTCAACATCAATATGTTCCACTGTATCAGCTGCTGTCTCAGTTGCTGTTCTTGTTGCTATTTCTTTTCCAAATATTTGAACAAAGTCGTCAAAGAATGAAAATGACTTGTTTCTCAATCCAGCAGCAGTTGGATGACTCTACAATATAATAAAATCGCATATTTAATAAATCTTACAATTACCTATGTAGATAACAAAGAGTACAGAAAGAAAATAAATTCAATTAAAATACTTACTCTAACTCAATCATCAAACACATCCTTTGGCGCAGTTAAACATTTTTCTTATTCATTCCAACCGATTCCACTTCCAATATTCAATATTTCAGATAAAACATTGTATTTTCTTTTGAGTAGTTTCACTCTAGATTCAATATGTGGATGGGCCCTAATTTGTGATGTCGAAAGCTTAATTTCTAACATCTTTTTAAGTTAAGATAAATAACTTGATCTAAATGTTCCATTATCAGCTTTCCAATGTGGGTCTTCAGCCAAAATGTGTAAGCATTCCACAAGTGCGACATCCTCCTTTTTAGTCCATGTCCTTTTAGTTACTAAAGACTTAATCTTTCCAGATGTCCGTTTTCCCCTTTGAGATTCTATATTTGATGTTGACATATTGCTCTTCGAAACAATCTAAGAAGATGTATATAAAAAATGTATAACATAACATAAAACATGTCATCATTGTCAATAATAATCATAAATGAAATTTAAAATAGTAACATAATAGAAATCAAATTTAGTGAATGACATAAGTAATGAATGTCCATAACAAATAAAATTCAAATTTTATAGAAGAGAAATATAAAATTTAATAAAGTTTATGCCATAAAATATAAATATGTTAAATACATGAAAGTAATGACCACTAACATTAGATAAAATAGAAGGTGGAAGTCCATACATAACATAAAATAACAAATATCGTAAAGTACGTGTTAGGATTTTCGGAAGCTCGAATCGACAACCAGAATGGTTTGCAAAGAGGGGTCGGAACGGTTTTGTGTTTAGGGAGTAAGGAGATTGAAAGATAGAGAATTGCACAGTGATTTATAGTGGTTCAACTTTCTCAATCAAAGTCTACGTCCACTACCTTAGCTCCTCACCAAGGATTTTCCAACAAATTCACTAATTTGTTCTTTCTTTTGAGGATAAAGAGTAACCTTACAAACTCCCTAGTTTTTCCGGGCTAAACTAGAACATTTCCCTAGCTTTTACACGGGCTAAGCTAGAACCTTTCCCCTTTACAAAAGGATAAAAGATGTAAACAAGAAAACCTCTCTAAGGTAGGTGTTTACAAGATTGAGCTCACAAGAACAAAATATTTACAAGGGAAATATGAAATAAGATTGAAAAACTCTTCTCTTGTGTTTGATTGCTTGGATAGTTGTTCTCTTGTTTCTTCAAGTGTCCTTAGCTTGTA